CGAGCGGATGCGGACCGGTGCCCTGTGCTGGGCCCGAGCGGATGCGGACCGGTGCCCTGGGCTGGCCCGAGCGGATGCGGACCGGTGCCCTGGGCGGGCCCGAGCGGCGCTTACGGGTGTTGCGCATCCAGTGCAGCAGGCGCGGCAGGTCGGCAGCGCGCGTGCCCCTCACGGCCGCCAGCACCGCGCGCCGCGCCGCCTCCAGCTCCATCGCGCCGCCGCCGCGGGGGGGCGCCACGCGCGCCGCCGTCCGCACGTGCGCGCCGTGGGAGAAGCCCCGCCCCCCGCGCTCCCTGCCWCCGGCTACCCGCACGTGCGCATGCGGGAGGGCGTCACCGACCGGAAGGGGCCCGCCACGCATGCTCGGTCCCGTCCCCAGGCGCGTGCTCGCGCTGCCCCTTGGCACCGCCCCCGGCCCCGCCCCCAGTGACGGAGSRGCCGCGGGAGGAGCTCCCGCCCACYCTGCCTCCGGCCCCGCCCRCRGCCSCGCCTCTCGCCCGCCCTTAAGGCGCTGCCGCCCAATTCCCGCCTGTGCCCGGGTGCGGGCGGGACGTTGATGCGGAGCCACCTTAAAGGCGGAGTGGCTCAAGCGCGTCCCGGAAACGGAAGCCAACGGAGGCCTGTGGGGCGACGGTCAGTGCTGACGTTTCCCTGGTCGGTGGCGGCCGCGGCTCCTTGCGCTTCCAGCGGCGTCTCGCTGGGCGGCCTCGCCCCGGCGGGCTGGGCTGGGCTGGGCTGGGCGCGCTCCGCCCGCGGGCCCCGCGCCGCGCTCCCGGTGAGTGCTCGCGCTGCCGCCGCAGCTGCTCCACAAGCGGGACCGTGTTTCCCGGTAGTTTCTGCTGACGCGGAGGGGCCCCCGGTCCAGCCGCGGCGGGAAAGGAGGAGGGACCGGGGGTTTGCCGGCCCCGGGGACAGGCAGTGGTCTGTCTTGTGGCAGCCCGGGCCGGGCAGGGCGCTCAGTTTGCCGGAGCTCTGCGGGAGCAGTTCKGGGCCTCCCGGACCCAGCCCCTGCTGTTCACAGCACCGGCACAGGACTCGACTGGCCGCTGTCCGTGGCCAGCTCTGGGTGCTTGAGGAAAGGACAACGGCCGGGCACGTATCCCAAACTTTGCTTTTGTCGCTTTTCCCGTGAGAAGGAGGAAACGGGACACAAGCGCGACAGCCGTTCGCTGCTGCTGCTTTGGGGGCGCCTTCTTGTCAGCCGGGTAAATTTAGAAGGTAGAAATTCGTACGGTGAGGTTGAGCGTAGCTGCAGTAGCTCAAGGGATTTCCACCTTTGAACCAGCTGCTTCTCTGTTACAGTGTTAACGTGCAGYTGATCTTAATCCATGTATATTTACATTTAGTATAACTTTATTGTACAGATTTTAAGTGTCCCTTTTGTTTGTTATATTTTTAAACAGCCTTTATCTTTTAAACAGCTGTTTAAAYAGCTGTTATCAGTTAAAGCTGTACTATTTTCATAATTCCGTACATTAGAGTACTGCTAGTTCAGCTAGACAGATACGGTCGGAGGTTTATGCTGGGTGGGTGGGCACTATGTCTTTCGAGTTGCTTCACTGCTGGTTTGCTATGGCATAGTAAGACACCTGCTAATTCTGCTGCTCCTTTATTCCTGAAATGCCCGTTTCTGGCTGAAGAGCAGAGGCCTTGGGGCTGCAGTAGCACAATGACCTGGGAGCTCAGTGTGGAGGTGCCCAGGCTGGTGCAGGGGACTCAGACTGTGTAGAGCTTGTGGCCTGCTCGAGGCAGCCTGGCTGTGTCCTGGGGGGCCCTGCTGGCTTTAACCCTGCTCTGTGTGTTGGTGGGGTGCTGCATTCCRTTTAAACTCTCCAGAAGTACGGCTGCTCAGCACATACTTGTTCTGCAGTGCAGTTATTGCTAATGCCCTTCTGGCTRTCTGCCAACCCAAGCTGGCTACCTGCTAAAACATCTTACCTRTCTTTGTCTGGAGTGTGGCTCTCGACTTGGATGAGACTCTCTGCAAAGTTCTGTTAATTTCTGCACTTGGCAGCCCTTAGAAATTCTGATGGCTTGTGATTTCTTAATGTGCTACTGAGAGCAGTTTAAGTGAAAATGCTTGAACTCATCTCCTTAGTAAAGGTTTTGAATTATTCCCATTGTAAGGATAKCAGAAGAAGCCTTTGGAATTCTGCAGAGGAAACATTCAGTTACTAGGGCATAATTAAGCTTCTGTATTTGGGGATCTGTAGAAATAYAGAAACTGATTTTAAATATTGAGTATGGTCATCCTATCCAGTTTCTTAACTGATACATCCAAGTATTATAGTTTTGTCATTGGTTGCCATTTTAGCAGCTTAAAGCTTACTAACTTGCAATGCTATTTTTAAAGGCAGGTTATGTTTTTCTTTCACATTGTGATTATCACAGAAAATGACCTGGAAAACATTTTGAACATCTGCTTTGCAGAGATTCTTTGGTAGAGCCTATTGATGATGCTTTTTTGGAATTATTTTGTAATAATGTGACTTGTATGCCTTGTAAGGAAACCTTGGAGTTTTACCACTTTGGATAAGGTAGAAATCCCCTTCCAGCAGTGTAAGAAGATGGACATCCTTACACTGGTCTGCACATTCTCTGCAGGCAGAGTTACTTAGGAAGCATAGACTAATTTTTTTAATTAATATTGAGGTGGCATAGTAATGGATATCATTGCTTGTATGTTCAATATGCATTAAATCTAAAATGTATAAATCCATTTGTGTCATTTGCCATACCCGACTCCTATATTCGCACTGGARTTTTTTATCCTACATTTTCAGAAGCTCCTGGAGACTGTTCTGCCTTGTGACCTCAGTATCAGGGGAGAGGRGTTAGACTGGTGGTTGTTTTTGGCGTTTTGATGTTGGTTTAACCTGCCAAGTTGGTAACAATAATAATTCTCAAGTAGAGAAAGCAATCTGGATGTTGGCCTACATGGGTGCCTTGTTTTAGCTCTTTTGGAACAAGTCTTTTATTATTTATAAATACATTTTAAACCTTGCCTTTTGGGATTTGTGCAGCTGGTAAATCTCAATGAGTGTGCACATTGAACTGTTCTCGTAGCCACATGGGAGCCCTCTCTTACATAAAACCAGAATGTAGCTAGTGGTTGTACTTCAATAAATGGACAAGGCCTTTCTTCTYTGTTTTCTTCTCATTTGAGGCAGGAAGTCCCAAAAACCTTTAAAGCTCTCATCTGTTTTGATTACAGAGGCTCCTGTTATTGGAARCTTGGCTTTCAGTTCTGAAAGGAGGAGCTCAAATGTTAGATTCTGATTTCAGCTATCAGCAAGGGAGTAGTTTCAGCTGAGTACATGAAAGCAACACTGAAAGTGGGAGATAAACAAGAAATATTGAAGTGCTCCATTTCAATGGAGCTGTGGTGTTGCAAATTTTTGCTCTTCAGACAAGTTTTGCTTTGTCTTTTTTCAGAAATTTAGATTGCTGATTCTACCATATGTTCTCCTGAATATGTTGTTACCTTACATGGGGGGTGAAGTGGTTTAGCATGTTGACTAGAATGTGTACCCTTCAGAAATTAGCATTTTATGGTTTTCTAACGGTAAGTTATGGTATACTTTAGGCTTACATATAGTATTTGTATTTATAGTGAACAAAAGTAGTCTGTTTTTCCAATAGTGCCATTAAAAACTAAAATGTGAATTTAATTTATTAAAATGCAAGTATGTTTGTAGGATTACCGAAATGGGAAATACAGTTTGATTTAGTGGAAGCTGGATAAAATGCAACCAATAAAGAAGGTTCAATTTTGCTAGCAAAATATTTTGCTTCTGGTCATACTGTCTTAGCAGGATGCATTTTAGAGGCTGTTCTGCTTGATTTTATTCTSTCACGTAGCATATTGCTGATAAGAGGATAAAAAGCAGTTAGCATTCCTTCTAGAAGTCTATCTGGACTGGGATTTTTTATGGTGAATTCAATGCACATTTATTCTACACAGTGAAATCCTTCCTAATTGAATTGTGGTTTCTCTGTTTTTAAGTAGGCCATTRGGATAGCCTAAAATTAACTTCAGGCCAATATTTCCTAAAAATAACTTTAAAAAGTAAAACTTGCACAGTTTCTGGAATGCAAAGCAGAATTCTTTCCCAAAAGTTACTGGAATAATTAATTTGCAARGGCAAAACTTCTACTTGTTTAAAATTTGATTTTTTGATTTTCTTCCAGATCCTTCTGAGTYGTTCTTGAAGCCGCCAAAATGGTTCTGGCAGATCTTGGAAGAAAAATAACTTCAGCATTGCGCTCTCTGAGCAATGCTACGATTATCAATGAAGAGGTATGTAGTGTACAAATGTGATGGMACTAACACTTGAAAAGTCCTGAGAAAAAGTTCTCAAAGGCTGATGAGATGCTTGAAGTAAGCTGATGTTCTCCCGAGACTTTTTTCCTTCAAGTAAAATTTCTACTAGAGGTTTTAACCCCCTGAGAGTACTGCCAGAACGAAGAACRAAATTTATCGTGGGTCATCACCTCAGACATAGTGGGTCCTGTGGTCAAAGGGTCCTTGAGCCTGGCTGTCCTTGGGGAGATTAATGTTCTATGAAGGTAATGCTGGAGGGAGGCAATGTGTACCTAAGGTTGGATGGAAAGTAGGTGCCTGCTCTGATTTAGGTGTGTGTACACAAGCAGACTATGGAGATGTGTAGTAGGCTGCTAGAAGCTGAAATGTGGAAGAAAAAAATATATGTAAGCTTTGCTGTCTGAAATGTGAGGAATGTGTTGCATTTGCTGACATTATATTCAAGCCAGTGTGTGGTTCTGGAAATTTGTTGAGATTGGTATCTATATATTTTCTGTTAAAGAATTTGAAATTATAACTAGGTGTGTTCTGTTATAGGAGTGCAAAGCAAGATGTAAAACTAGTAATGTGATGGTTTAAAAGTGTCTATGAGTACATGAATTGCTAGAAATTTTTACCAGGTGGAAAGATGTAAGTTAAAGTAAGTAAAAAGCAGGGTCATTGAGAGCTGTAGGGTTAGAACTTGTGCACAGAGAAAAAGTTTTAATGTATCTTCAGCTGGGAAACAAAAAATCCTTAACTGAATCAAATACAGCCCAATTAAATTTTTTCAGCAATGGAAACTTATCCTGTAAGAGCTCAAGATGTGCAAATTATGCCATTTWTGCAGGTGTTACTTTCTGAAAAATCTTTCTCTTCAAGACTTTGAAAACTCAGAACAAACAGCGTTTCTAGCTGAGGCACTGGCTTGTCTAAAAGGCATACAGTCAGAGCAGCAGTCCAGTTTCTGAAAATGCATATACAGGGTGCCCATCTTGCAGCTAAGAATACTGGTATTTACAGAAATGATATTGTGATACAAGATTTTTTGGTGTACTCTCTAAGTAGTACCCATAGGAAAGTTTATGAAGTCTTTTTGCCATGTGAGATGTTGGCCATAACGCAATAGGAATGTTTTGTGTGAGTGTTATACAGTGTGCCATTGTTACAATTGAGAACCSTTCTCTTTCAGTATTACCCTTTCAGATTTAAATGGTATTTATGTAGAAAAAAATGCACAGACTTTTTTTGTGGCAGTCGATTTAATCGTAGGACTATATGCATTTAATTTGTGAAAGCTGTGGTTATATCATAAATAGACTTTCACATCCTTATTTTGACCTAAYAGTGGCCTAGCTTATCTGTGTCTGGTAAAACATTTGTTCTAATTTTTCTTTTTTACGCCAAAGGTTTTAAATGCTATGCTAAAAGAAGTATGTACAGCATTACTGGAAGCTGATGTTAATATCAAACTTGTGAAGCAACTCAGAGAAAATGTCAAGTAAGTGAAATAATCAAAATACATTTAACTTTTAATATTTGTGAAAGTTGTAATTTGAGGTTATAAAAGAATAATTAATTTGTGACTTTACATGTTGGTTTGGTTTTTTTAGACACACACAGTTTAGTTTTAACAGGAAAATGTGTTTGCTAAACTAAATGTTTAGCCTGTTCTATCAAAAGAAGCTTTGGTCAAATCTAGCCATTTATTGTTGCCGCAGGCTTGTTTCAAAAATCAGTTGCTGTCAAGTTGTCTGATAAACAAGTTCTTCATTACTTCCTAGACACATCATCTTCACATGTTCTRTGCTAGCTATAAATAGATCTGTTTGTGACTAGCACTGTTACCTTGCCTATTTTCAGATGTGCAATTCAAGTAARTGCAAGTCTGAAAGATGCATTTTAGAAACTTGTTTTTGTCCTCCACATAAGAATATCTCTAGTGCATTTCACTTCTTAAGTGCCTCCTATCTAAAAACTCAGAACAAATCAGGGTGCTGTTGCAGTTGCAAAAACTTTGTTTATTACTAGGTTCAAGTGATGCTTTAAGTTATGCTAGTGTTTCATGGTTTTCTTAAACTCAGGTCTGCAATTGATCTTGAAGAAATGGCATCTGGCCTTAACAAAAGAAAAATGATCCAACATGCAGTCTTTAAGGAGCTTGTTAAGGTAGGACTTCAAAATTCTGCATTGCATCACTTTCCTTGTATAGTCTGGGCTTGGAAGTAGTGCAGTAGCAGCCAAGCTTTTAGGTAGTTATGTGGTACCTGTAGTTATGCTTTCTGTTTGTGAGGGTTCTTGCTGTTGTGAACAGTAGTATTCTAATTGAAATGACATCCTGGGCATTTCTCAAACTAATTTTAGTTTAAGCTTGAAGTTCAATTGTTTTTATTCTTCAGTTGAAATGTAAAGACGAGTAATGTTATCCTTGTCCCATATATACAGCCCACTCTGACTGTGCTTGGTGTTAGAAATTAACACTGTTATGTCRCAGAATTATTATGCAGAACATTATATACTGTAGGTATCTTGCAGGGCCTGTTGCTGCAAGTCAGCAAGAACCTAAGCCATATTAAGATGAGAATGTGCTTTGCTGCATTAAATATGAAACCAGGCACCTAGCATGATTTTGACACCAACTGTTCCGTGCTTTTGAARTTTGGTTCTGCTACCTATGTTACTCTTTGTTCTTTAGCTTGTAGATCCCGGAGTCAAGGCATGGACACCTACCAAAGGAAAACAGAACATTATAATGTTTGTTGGTTTGCAAGGAAGTGGTAAAACAACAACTTGTTCAAAGGTAACATGCAGTGAATCTCATTGCATGGTTTTTGGTGGTTTTTTTTTTTAGCTTGGGGAAGCTGGTGTTCACTGGACTCTTTAGGTAGGGTTGGCTTGTGATCTGTGCTGTTGCTGTTAGTAGGAAACTGCTAACTAACTAAAACAGAGATACTTTTGCAGAGGGGTTTCTGAGATGAGACAAATGTTCAAAGTAATACTATTTTGGCATAATTTATGGTTATAGGACTTCCTTCAAAATTTTTTGAACTAAACTCTTGAAACAATACCGTATATAGATAAGAGAGTCTTTCTATTTGTCCTTGTSCTTGGAGTTAAACCACAACATTGTAATTCACTTTCTATGTTTAAGACTAGTACTAAGAAAGGATGCTCGTTCCATTACTTATTTAGGAAAACCAGTGGAATTTGGCCTTTATATTAGATACCTCAGTTAAGTGGGTGATGTGAAACTTCTTCCAMCCCCAGATTCATTGAAGAAATTTACATTTGTATTTTTTCAAGGCTGAAAAAACAATGCTCTGAATCAACMAATCTTCACATCTCCAACAAGGCCTCCTTGTTTGTTAGTATGAGGTTAAAYAGCACACCATTCCTAGTGGGATCATCCATTACCTGTGACAGGAAGTTGTCATCTGTGCTTTCCAGGAACCTCCTGGRCTGTTYGTGCTTCACTGTGTTGCTTGCTCCTCCAGCAGATGTCAGGGTGGTTAAAGTCCCCCAAAAGAACCAGGGCCTGTGACTTCAAGTCTGCTTTAGGCTGCCTGTAGAAGGCCTCATCCACTTGCTGCTTCTGATCAGGTGGCTTGTAGCAAACACCCACAACAGCCTCAGTCTCCATAATCTGCCCTTTTATCTTAACCCATAAGCTCTTGACTCACTCATCAGTCACCCCAAGGTAGAGCTTGATAGATTCCCAGTTGTGAGGAGAAGTTATTTTGRGATTCACACACAGTGATACATTGAGTATAGCCTGCTCTGATTTACRGAAGACTTTCTTAGTGCTTCTGTAGTAAACTTTATTTTGCTARTTTGTCTTTGGTCAGTCAAGTGTTTTGTGAATGTACATTGTACTGATGAAGCTGAGTGTTGTAAGAAAGTTGAGGATTCTATCCACTGCTTTAAAATAGGTCCTTTCAATGGAAATATCTTTGTTCCTCTGGAAGTACAGAAACACAGAACTGTACAACTTRTAGTCATTATGGTACTTGATATTGRAGTACTTACTGCTTTGGGTAGCTTCTACRTGTTACTCCAATCTGCAGTATTAAAAGTAAGAAGAATTCAGGAGTTAATAAAATGGGAACTTAAGTTATATGTAGTCATTCCTAGCTCAGGAAATTGAAATCAGAAGCAGATTCAAGGAGGTGTTTYCATCTTGCCATTAATAACTATTTATAATGTACTTTTCTAAATAATGGCCATGCTAACAGTCTACAGTCTTACTCCATTCTCTCAGTTTTAGACAGGCTGGCTTGACTTKGTGTCCTTTGTGTGTGACTTACAAGCTGTTAAACGTGTCATGTAAGTGGGACTTTGGTGTAACCATTTGTTTTGGATTTCATTTCACAGTTAGCATACTTCTATCAGAGGAAAGGCTGGAAGACTTGTTTAATATGTGCAGACACATACAGAGCAGGTAACACAGACTTTAATGATTCTCYATAATATTTGCAGATTTTCTTAAGTAGTCCCTTGACTATACCTGTCTTACAGGTGCTTTTGACCAGTTAAAGCAGAATGCCACAAAAGCAAGAATTCCCTTTTATGGGAGGTAAGCATCTTTCAGAATCACTCTGGAGAACAATTCAACTCCAACGATGTATTGTTATTGAACATTTCCCACTAAGCCCCATCTAGTGTTGCTTAATTACTTACATTTTAGTAATATATTCTGAGTAATACTTGCTCTGATCAGATGAAAATTCAGCCCAGTTCAGTATGCTTCCAGAAGTAGCACACAGGATAGTGTAATATTAGATCAGGTGTCTGGGAATAATTCCATATAGTGCTTTCAGCCAGATTTTCAGCAGGTATCTCACAGATCAAAGGATATTATTTTTGGATGCTTAATTTTTATTAYCAAATAGAGGCAGAGGTGGACCTAAAATGGCTTCTAGAAAGCGATAAATAACTTTCCCCTAAGCTTCACTGGAGGTGAATGGTCTAGATGGTCAACTAAACCTTATTTCAGGGAAGGTATAGCAGAACTTTGTCTCACCTGCTTGGAAGCTGCACTGACTTCAGTCTGTATGTTGGTTCACTGAGTAGTAATGGTAAATGGCTTAGGAAGGCATATATTTAAGCAGTTTTTGCTTGACATAAGAGGAATTCCCTCTTGAAATCCAGATAGGTTTGTAGTTAACAAGTTYATAGTCATGTGATGAAATTCTGAATTAGTTTCTTTGTTTCTCTTTTTGATCAGTTACACAGAAATGGATCCTGTAATTATTGCCTCAGAAGGTGTTGAGAAATTTAAGAATGAAAACTTTGAAATAATCATTGTTGATACAAGTGGACGACACAAACAAGAAGACTCTTTGTTTGAAGAGATGTTACAAGTTGCTAATGCCATAGTGAGTAGTTTTGAGAAATACAGTAACTTGTCACAATTATTTGATGACAATTGATTCATCTTTGTCCTCATGTTCTGTGTGCATTTTGCTTTAACTCCTAGATTGTGTTAAAATTACAAACAGATAGAAATAAGCAAGGGCTGAATAACCAGTGCTTGTTAGTTTTGTGTCAGTTTTAATTCTTCTATTTTTCTGTTCAAATGTGCTTACATATAACTAGACTTCCATTCCTGCTTTAACTTTTCCTTTTCAGGATCTTTGCATTGAGAAACTAGATAAAAGAGCCAGTCTGATCTGGTTTCCTGTAACTAAGAATACTAAACTTTCTGTGATTGTCACAAATAATTGCAYTGAAAAGAGAAGATGAYTGGATAACTTTCAACAGTTTTGATATGTAAATGAAGCTGGTGTTTCTGTGGGTTTAAAAWGTCTGGCTATTTGTTTGATTCTGTGGTCTTGCATGACAATATGAAACTTCCCACACAATTGCTGCTAATGGCTAACTTAGTTTTAGAGGAATGGGTGTCTTAAATRTCTTAATGTAAAACCAAATGGAAGATGTTAGCTTTTAATTGCCTGTAGATGCTAATTAGCTGTTTTGGCTCAAGATACTGGCTAAGATCACTTGAAATATAACTAATAAGCACAAACCTATTAAATTGTAATGTTTTGTTTTGCAGATAAATCATGTAGTAATACAGCATCAGATTTTTTAAAATGGTTYTTAGATAATACTGTTCATAAAACAGTGGTCCTGTTTTAAACTCTTACAATACAGCTCTTATATACTGTTACTGCAGTAAGTTCTGCTGCTGAACATAATGCATGAACATTCTTTAGTAAAGCAGGAAATAATTATTTTTGTGTATCTCATTTCTCCTAGCAACCAGATAACATTGTTTATGTGATGGATGCTTCCATTGGCCAAGCTTGTGAAGCTCAAGCTAAAGCTTTCAAAGATAAAGTRGATGTAGCTTCTGTTATTGTTACTAAGCTTGATGGACATGCAAAAGGAGGTGGAGCTCTTAGTGCGTAAGTACTGTGGTATAATAATGTCCAACATCTGGCCATGCACAGCCAGCCATGAAATGTGTTAGTGCCCCGCAGAAACGTTTTCTGTGAAAGTGTCACTGGCACACTGCACAGAATCTTAGGTCAGTCACAGTCACACTCAGGTTCTTACCCTTCGGGTATGTGGGATCACCCATTGGTATTTAATGTCAGAATCAGACGATATACAGTAGTGTGTATTGTCCCAGGTCAGACTTCTATCTTTTGAAATCACCATCAAGCAGTATTCATTGCATATTGTGTACCAGGCTTATTTCCAAAAAGAAAAATTAGGGCTCAATAGATACAATTTATGTGAAGAGTTTTGCACYGCAACAGTTTTTTTCCAAAAGGAGAAAAACTGTAGCTCATCATATATAGTGACCTTAAAACTGATACAAATCTAATTTCTGGATTGGCTGTGTCCAGAAATGTGGCAAGAAGTTGTCTGCAGTCATACTTACCCAAATTCCATTCTTGTTGGACTTCCGATGTGCTGTATCTTGGCAGAGTATTGACTTGAAAATGTTGCATTTCATCTTCAGACTTATGATTGTTCCAGCTGCCTTTCAGTGATACAGCTTGTATGGAGCTGAGATGATCTGTCAAAACAGTCAAAATTAGCTGACTCTAACTTAGTAAATCACTGCCTGTCTTTAATCTGAAGTGTTAAGAGTTCTTAAACTGCCATATGTATTTTGCTTTRTAGTGTAATGTTGGAGTACTAAAGCTTTTGGTATTTTCATTTTGCACTTGTTCTAGTTATCATGTGCTTGTATGCCTTCAGTCTGCTGWGGTTGCTCTGTACTGTCTATGGACTGGAAGCTGAATTTCATCTAAAAGCTAGTGCCAGTGTGGTGGAAAGGTTCTGGGTTTTATGTCTGAGCTTTTTTCTGTGTATCTTTTGTATGTGGTACCTTGAAGAAATTGTAATCAATGCCTGTCATCTGCCAATATTACCATTAGTATTGGTTTATGTATATCAGTAATATCCCAGTAGTAGGGTAAACTGGAGATAATTTATTTTGCTTTCCTTTCAAGCTGCTTAAACTCAGCAGTGAAAATAAGCAACTACTATTCCTGTTGATGATTTTTTTCCAACCAGTGTATTTTATAAAGTACTAACTAGAGGAAAATCTTTTTACTACTCTCAGCTAAACATCCAGATCCTGGATGTTTTTTCTTTAAAARTCTGACGACTAAGATACTTTTGAGAGAGAATGCATGGTGTTGATGATGCCTAGCTGATTGTACTAATAGATGGAACAAAAGATGGATGGTGTTTGAGAGGCCATTTCATAAAATATATTTCATTGCAGAGTTGCTGCCACAAAGAGTCCTATTATTTTTATTGGAACTGGCGAGCACATAGATGACTTCGAACCCTTTAAAACACAGCCGTTCATCAGCAAGCTGCTTGGTATGTGCAACTGTACTTAAAAATGTTTTGAATTGGGTAATGGAAAGTCAAAGTGTAATCTTTTTAATGCTAATTTCAGAGCTGTTTTCTTTTTCCAGGTATGGGTGATATTGAAGGATTGATAGATAAAGTAAATGAGTTAAAGCTGGATGATAATGAAGCACTCATAGAAAAGCTAAAACATGGTAAGTTATTCCCAAGGCCTGAATAGCAGGTGCATTACAGTGGCCTGGCTGTGGCAGGTTCTCTGTGACAGAGACCACTGAGTTAATTTGTGTTGTGTGTAGACAAACAACTTGTTCATGTGCACAGAGAATCATGGTAATTCGTTAGTAAATGTGGCAGCCAAGAAAATTGAGTTGTGTTTTTCAAGTTGTGTCAGACTGTAACTGCAGAATAACTAGCTTGATGGTTCTGCTTGCACCATCTGAAACTATTTAGCCATGTTAGTAGTGAAGAGGTTTATTTATCTGCTTATTTATACAATATAGTATTTACCTTATAAATATGAAGAATAATTGAAAAAGGAKAGTAATATCAAACTGCTAATGTGTCTTCTGCTAACTTTTCTTTTGTTGTGCTTCAGGTCAATTTACATTAAGAGACATGTATGAACAATTCCAAAACATCATGAAAATGGGACCATTCAGTCAGATCTTGGTTAGTTATGCCCAAAATATTTTTATTTTATCAGATTTTCATTGATATTTGACAAACTTCTGTAACTTAAAACTCTTCATTAAAATTTGAGTTATAATCTGTGCTCTGTATTTTCAAAAAGTGCAGTGATTTGCCTACTGCGGTATGTAACTGCAGAACTAATAGTTGCTGTCTATATTTGCTTAGTTAAAGTTAGCTTTGCCTATTCTGACACAGCTTTTGTTTTCCATTCTTAAAACAAGGGCATGATCCCTGGTTTTGGAACTGACTTCATGAGTAAAGGCAATGAACAGGAATCGATGGCAAGGCTAAAGAAACTGATGACAATAATGGACAGTATGAATGATCAAGGTAAAACAAATTTCACCCGCTACTTTTTTCTTCATTGTTGAAGAAGCTTATTTACAGAGATTTTTCTRGAAACAAAAAGACATACTGCAGCATGTACAATAACAGAAAATGACAAGAGATATTTAATATTCTTGGAAATGGTAAGGAGTACATGTGTCTCTAAATTTCTTAATAAATYGAAATATTTAGGATACATTGATTGCCTGTTGCTGCTCTGCCTTGCRTAGAGTTGGTAGGATTTTGAAGCATTCTATTGTAAACTAAAGTATTTTTATTTTTCGTATTGTAGCTGTTGATAAATTTTTAATGCCATACTTGCATATTAAAAAAGCTGTGTTGATCTTTATTCTGCCTTGCTATCTTTTTTCCCACCCTCAAATTTACTTGGTGACATAGCCTGTCTCTGGAATTCCAAGTATTGTTTCTGATCCACCCATAACTCCAGCAGTAGTATGCTCTTACCCTTGTGCTAAACCCATTGATGTGGCTTAAAACCAAGTATGCTGAGAGCATAATTTATTCATACAGTTTTTTTCTATCACAGTGATTAACATATGAAAATAACAGCTTTTTAATATTACTTCCTAGAATATTATGTTTCAATTATTTATGTAAAATTTTGCATTGTCACTTCTAAAACTAAGTTTTTGTTCTCTGGCTCAAAACGAAGTTCTCAACAATTGTAACMTTTTTTGATGTCATTAACTCAGTGGATTTTTCTTTTCTACACTCTGATTGCAGAACTTGACAGTACAGATGGTGCCAAAGTTTTCAGTAAGCAGCCAGGAAGAATCCAAAGAGTAGCAAGAGGCTCAGGTGTTTCTACCAGAGATGTTCAGGAGCTTTTGACCCAATACACTAAGTTTGCACAGATGGTGAAAAAGATGGGAGGCATCAAAGGGCTTTTCAAAGGTAAAAAAAACCCAAACCAACACCAAAAMCCCCCCTAACATTTATTAACTCAGGAGGTCACTTGACGTGTGGACACAGAGGAAGTGTGAAAACATTGATTAGGGAGAGGAGGAAGTGGGTTACAGCTCACTCATTTCCATGATGTTTGGAAGTTCTTTTATGTGACTTCTTTTATTTTCATCATGACCTTAATGTGTAACTCAGCAAGGAAAGCTACTGTATTTCTGTCAATGTAGACATGACTATTACTACAGTCTACTAGGTGGAGTGCAGGGACTGTTGATCATAAAAGGACTTTTAAGTGACTGATGTAATTTCTGATAATGGACTCATGGATTTGATTCTAGAATTAGGTAAAATTTGGATTTATTTTATTTCTAGCCTTGTTAATCCACTTTCTATGGAAAAGAAATTCTATTTCTATGTTAATCCACTTTCTTATGATTACTCTTTTCATTTAGGTGGTGATATGTCCAAGAACGTAAACCCATCTCAGTTGGCCAAACTGAACCAGCAGATGGCAAAGATGATGGATCCAAGAGTTCTTCATCATATGGGTATGTGCTGACTTTTTATAGCTTCAAGRGTTGACTGCCAATTATGGTGGAGCATTTGAAATACAGAAGTGAGGAAGGGATTGTGAGACTATYTGCATTATATATCAGTACTAAGTATTTCTAGATTTTTCTAACAAAAATCAGAAAGTTTAGTCCAAATGCTTTACACTTAGCAGTYCTTAATGTAGTCTTTTCATTTGGATTCAGCTCTCAAAATGGGCATGTTGTCTGTGATGAATGCTGTCTGGGAATAATGATGACTTGAAGAATGTCTGTGGTAAAACAAACCTTCCTAGACTTCTCTTCTAAGATTTGTCTGGAGTAATCAAATTGGACAAGAGCAGGATAATAGTCATTCCATCAAGATTTTGCTTTTGTCTAGTTCTTAATGCACAAGTCATCTTAAAACCTACTGTAAGCCTSGTGTTTTGCAGACTTCTTTAATTACTCTTTATCTTCAATAGCTGTTTAAACCTAGATTAACAGTCTTGGGCTTCTGCTTTTGTATATTACTGGAATTGTGTGTGTACAGTAATGATGCCTCAAGCTAGAGAGCTGCGCTTCAGAGTTAATTAACACATTCCTGTTCTCTCCTGTTTTCTGCAGGTGGCATGGCAGGTTTGCAGTCAATGATGAGACAATTTCAACAAGGTGCTGCTGGGAATATGAAAGGCATGATGGGATTCAATAATATGTAAAGAAGCCTTAATACAAATGGACTTGGTTGACTCTTCATTGCAATTTCAGTGAATGAATTTGCTTTCTTCCTTTTTACAGTGATGAGAGGTGGTCTTTTGAAATCTTATCCAGGCTTCTCAGTTTCTACATCTAATTTCTGAAAACTATTTTTGCTTAAATTAGTTCCTCTCCACTAATAACTGATGGCACAAAGAGCAATTCAATTTAATAAAACAAAATCATGATGTAAAATTTTAATATTTAGAGACACTTTTTAATTGTTTACATCAAATGGCAGCCATTATATTTGTAAACAATCCTGATCTTTGGTTATAGTAACATAAAATGTCACAAATATACTGTAAAATAAAATTTAAGTGGTTATAAACAAGGGAATGGCCTGTTTCTTCAGCTCCTTTTAACTGTCCTTTATCAGTAAGTAGTAATGAGATTATTTCCTTAGTTTGATTTGTTTCTAAAGACTGTTGTAATTCCTGTTTGGCATAGATACTATAAGAATAGTTCAGTACCTGAAAAGGTGCTGTTGATGCTCAGCTGTGGAACATTTTTAAAATGTGSATGTGCTGTACTCAGGTTTGTACAAGACTTTGTTGTGTAGAATTTTATCATTCTTCCCCCATACACAATCAAGTGACTGAAAAAATACAGGTATGCAGATAGAAACTATATCTCATATGCCGAAGGTACTCTTCGTACCAGGCCACCGGTTAGGCAGTTATTCTGGAGATAATTTCTAATGCATACTAGGTGGAATTCTGTACTGGTACTGAACTTTAAAACAGAGAGAGCTGTATCTGACAGAGTATATTGCCCCAACTCAGGTACAGTTTGATCTTCATTTCCTATAGCATTTCTTTAGTATTTCAGTTTACTGTGTTGGTCTCAAAAGGGTAGAAATACAGGCACACTTCAGAAATGAAGTAGACCAAGATGAACCTTGAAATCCAATACAGATCTTGGCAAATAGGGTATGATCTCTTACCCTTTAGTATTATAAGTTTTAATACACTGGAGAGTTCTTGGTTTGTAAACGAACACCTATTGCTGCTTCTCAATAAAGTTAAATGCAATAATTAAAACAAGTGGGTCCCTCTGTCAGCCAGTTCTCTGGACAGTGGCAGCTAGCAGGGAATATCTTATATAGGAAATTACACTCTTGCACTAATAAAACATAAGGTATGCTCTAATGTGGTTTATAATGTGAAACTAGTCCCTGCTTGATTAGTGGTATGTATTCAGTATTTGGAGGATGCTGAAAAATCTTCAAGTATGCCATGTATTTTAAATAGTATATGCATATGTCTTATGCATAGCATTAATCTATAAAATGTTAAGTTGAATCTTTGTCTTTTAAATATAACAAAAGAATGAGTCATTGCATATCACTGGTTGTAGGGGAGCTGTCCTCAGCTACTGAAGTGGTGTGCTTACTAAAACCATTTTTTATAGTATTTTCAGTTCCTGAGCAGTGTAAACCAGTGCAATCTGCAAAACCATGCCGAAAAGAGTATCAAATCTTCGTTTGAAATGCAGTCCATAGGGGACAGTGGATGGTTAATGCTTTTGATGGAAATCAAACATGAATAGGGATATTGAGGATGAACACTGAGGCACTGTGCTCCAGGACAGGCTCAGTCAGACTGTCAAGTTACCAACAATTAACTCTGTTTTCAGCCTGTGGCCTACATTTAGTTTTAACTTTTAGTTARCCATTTCCAAAGTACTAAAACTGCAACCAGATAGGAACAGAGCTGTCATTACCTGCATGTTGGCAGAGGCAAGGGCAAGTTGAGAATGCATTTCCTTTAAAGCACATGTCAATTGTTATTTCTAAGATATATGCTGGAATGAGCAAAATATATATTGCTCTTACTGTAGCAACCAGGTAGCAAATACTTTGGAACCTGTAGAAAAAAATTGCCTGAGGATTTCAAGTCTGGAAAAAAACCCCATTTGTGATAAAGGCACTAAGAACAAGAGTTCAACTGTATAGGAGCACATCTGAATGAACTGGTAACTTACATGGCCTCTAACAACTTGATACAAATACAACACTGGCAAGTATATGACAAACACCAGCATCATTTTCTTGCATTAGGGTTTTTGTACTCATCCTCTACAGGATCTCAGAAAAGGCTGGARCAAAGTTTTCTCTGGCATACAAGAACCTTAAAGAGCKAGAGTCAAGCAAAATTGGCTGGAARTACAAGACTGAGGTCTGTCTTTCTGTGCGTATCTTGCTGAAAGCTGTTGCTGCTRTCAGACAAGCTTTTGTCTGAGCTGTTGGAGCTCAGTCTGCTGCTCAGCAGCCTAAGAAATGGTTATGATGGTCAATAGACAGCTGTGTGCTAGAAGCTGGACTATTAACTATYAGCACACACAAGTATCTGTGGGTTTATTTGTTAATTCTCTTCACCTTTCCATAGGACTTTTAATATTGATATGCTAAACTTATTAAGCTTGTCTAAGTTGTAAATGCCAATTGTTCTGGGAGGTGAAAGATCATGTTCAATATGACTGTATAGCTACTACAGTCACAGTAGAGACAAAGGAAAGCAAGTTGGTTGGTAGATTTAATGCTGTTCTTGAGGAGCTGTTACTCTAGTAAGGACTGGAATAAATTGAATGTATATTCTGTTGGGGATAAGAAATATTTATGTATCCTAACTGTTTCTTTGGAACTTTAAAGGATATATGCCTGTTGTAATACCTTAAGCAGATGTTCAGCCCAGTACTGTCTAAAATAATACTCTAACCTTACATTCACATGGTTCTGTAATCATACACTGTATGTCAGCCCTTTTCACAAGGGAACATTTTCTGCCTTATACTAGTACAACTGTAAGTCTGATGCATTTATGCTGGAGCTTTTGTCATGGGCTGTGGACAATGCTTTGGTAATATGACTAAGAAAGTGTCTTAAAAGCCCCTATGTGTCATAGAGGGTAATTTTTTGGAAACTATTCATAATGATGTGGGATTGAAAGATGGCTCTTGTCTATCAGGGAGTTGCGTGTTACAGCCATTGGTTCCATCAAAAAAAAACCAACAACTCCAAAACCAAGCTATTCCCTCGATCCCATAAAAAGAGTATTTCAAATCCCTCTACCTCCGGCTATTTTCAGTGGTAGCTGGCATTTAATAATGTACCTTTTGCTAGGGGTCAGCTCTTGTCCTCTGTTCTGGCTGGGTCATCCCCTACACCCCAGAGACCTCAACACACCCYGGGGGCAGAAGATCCCACCTCTCCCCAGGAGCAGCTGAGCAAACCTTACSTGGCAAACACTTCTCCCACCCTCATGGGCACACGTTATTTTCTCATGCAGCCGCAGCCCAGGGGCCAGGTCACCCTCGGTGTGTATTTCTTTCTTGTTCAGGGATTCGTTCTTTACGAAGGGCTGAGTCACCCGAACCAACACGCAATCGTGGAAGGCTGAGCAAGGGTGGTCCTGGGCGAGCTAGACCCCTAACTACTGTCATGCAACTCCATGTTCTACTTAAAGTATTATTCTACCACTTTGCATTTTTGGAAGATGATGTGTGTGTTGCCCTAGAACGTGTGTTTTTTCCTCAATGCAGTGAGAATACCCTTCCTCCTCTGTGCAGGCATGGCTGTGCCTGGTAGCTCGGCAGCTTCTGGCCTCTCCCGTGCCTCCCTCCCGGCTCCGGTTAATGCCGGCCTGCGGAGAGAAGCCAAACACCCAACACTGGCGCGACCGGCACTGCAATCTCTGTCGAGGGCGATCCAGCGGCTGTGCGCTGCCCATCCCGGGCCGCAAGCGCCGCCCCGGCGGGCGGTGTGACGGGCGGTGCCGCCCGGCCGCTCTCGCCTCCCCGGGCCGCGGCGGGCCCGCTGCCGCCCTCCCCCGGCGCCGCGGCGGGCGGGAGGATGGAACAGGGGCTGTCCGCCATCACCCTGTACTGCGCGCCCGCCGSCGGCACCATGGAGCCCGAGCAGGTGAGCGGGGCCGGCGGGGCGGCTCTCCCGGTCCCTTCGGGCGGGCGGCGGGGTCCGGGCGCAGCCGCTTCCGGAGCGGGGCGAGGCCGCGGCGGGGCCGGCCGGGGTGTGGGTGGCGGCCGCGGCCTGACCCGCCGGGGCGGTGCGGGGCGGGGGGAGCCCCCGGTTCCCCGCTGTGGTGCTGGGGTGCGGTGCCCGGCCGCGGGAGAGGAACTCGGTCTGTCAGCCCGTCAGTGCTTCCATCCAGCGCGCTGTAATTACAGTCAGCGCGGCGGGCACGCGTGTCTCCGGTGTCTCCTGCTCGTCGGCGGACAATGGCTCTGACAAACGAGCCTGATKAATA